GGTTTAAGTACCATTTTAGTCCCTCAACTTTACACTTTGGTACCAAAATTGTCCCTTACCTTTAAAAAGTACCAAAATTATCCTCGAACTTTCATTTTTGATACCAAAATAGTCCTTCCGTCAGTTAAATGACAGGTGTCACGTTAATTTGCCAGCAAATCTTTTTTTTTTGAAAAAATACTGATGTGGTAAAGATAACACACGAAAATGGATGAGATGGCACTTTATTTTGTTTATGTGGCATTTTTAATTTTAAACAAATAAATAAATACCATTTATTATTAATTAATTAAAATCATTTTCAAAATTAACCTTCTTCTTCCTTATTCCCCCCTTCCTCTTCACTCTTCCCCAACATTTCTTCTCCTTCTCCATCTCTTTCGACTTCTCTTCCCTTTCCAGATTCTGGTTTCCACCCTTCGAGGTAATCGATTTTTGATTCCTCCTTGATCGTTTACGAGTTGCAGATCCTGGGTTCTCCTTTGCACCAGATTTTGCTCCTGCTCCTGCTCTTGCTTCTCCACGGAAGAAGACGACAAAGGAGAAGCAGAGTCATCATCACCATCGTCGCCGCTGATCTTGGGAGGAAAGGGAAGGGTTTGAGAAAAACCCAGATCTGGGTTTGCTAGTTGCCCTGTTTGGCATCTTGTTTTCTTTTGATTTTGATTGTGAGCAATTTTGAGTGGTCAGCTTTTGTTTTCATTTTTATTTTCTCAGAAACCAAACATATGATTGTGGAATTGAAATGCACATTTATTTTCATCACAGAGTTTGGTGGGTTTGAGAAAAACCCAAAGTTTGGTGGGTTTGAGGAGCTTGAGGCGCTGGTGGATGTGGAGAATATTGGGTCGCAGAGGGTGCTGGAGAAGGCTGGGTTTACAAGGGAAGGGGTTTCGAGGAAGTGTTATATATGCTCAAGGGAAGAACAAGAGAACCCAGATCTGGGTTTTTTTCGAACCCAGATCTGGGTTTTTCTGGAACCCAGATCTGGGTTTTTCTGGAACCCAGATCTGGGTTTTTCTCGAACCCATATCTGGAGAGGAAGAAGAAGGGAGAAGAGAGAGCAAAAGAATAAGAAGAAGGAAGAAGAAGGATGAGTAGGAAATCTGGGTTTACCTTGCTTTTTTTTTTTCTTTTTTGAGCTGCTGGATTTTTCGAAGTTGCTGGTTTGCTTGGAGCTTGGAGGAGATGCAGGAGAAAGAAGAAAGGAAGGTTGGAGGATGAGGATGAGGGCATTTAAGTAATTTTATTTTTTTAATGTATTAACTAATTAAAAAAATGGGAGTTTTCCTTGTTGGATTTACACGTCATTAACATTTAAAAAGTTAAGTGATTTGTTGGCAAATTAACGTGACACCTGTCACTTAACTGACGGAAGGACTATTTTGGTATCAAAAATGAAAGTTCGAGGATAATTTTGGTACTTTTTAAAGGTAAGGGACAATTTTGGTACCAAAGTGTAAAGTTGAGGGACTAAAATGGTACTTAAACCGTAAAAATATTATTAAGGATTTTTTTATTTTGTGTCCTTAAAATATAAGATAAGGGTGTATTTATTGTATTTTTTTATTATTAATATATATAGTAAAGTGTAACTGCATCAAACCGGAAGCCCTTCTTCAGTCTGTATCTGCACTCTAGATTGACCTGCAAAGCCCCGAGGTGGATCCTCGGGGTAGACACTCCGATGCTTAAGTCAGCAATAATCGGGGTTACCTTTGAAGCGGAGATACCAAGAGCTTAGGGTTGGTTTCAATTACCTTTTGGCGTGGCCCTTAAGGGGTATTTATATATTCCGATGAAGAATCCACGCGTCATGCCAATCAAGATGTCAGGCAAAATATCCGGGATCCGATGTGTATCTCC